GATCTCCCGATTGCTCGGCTTCCAGAGCAGGTACAGGCTCCCTCGAGGATCCTCTGCGCGCAGGCCAGTTCCTGTCTGCCCTGCTGTGCGGTGCAGAGAGAACAGGGCTGGCGTGAAAGCCCAGCCGATTTATTATTCCGGTCACAGAGGCAGCAGCTCAAGTCCTGGCTCCATTACGCCAAGTGCGGCACCGACACCAAGCGAGAGCCCGGCCAGGCCCCACGCAGCCTTCCCCGCTGGCTGTTCAGACAAGGCTTTGCTGCCCCTCCAGACGGGATTGGAGAGCGTCTTGTTTCCCCTGCTCCTCCGGGGCGAAGGGACTTGCCCAAGGCACACGGGGAGTCAGTGGCAGAATCTGGAATTGAACCTAGCTCCTCCTGCCCCCAGTTCCTGAATCAAGAGAGCGTGTGCCTGACCCTGCTCACTGTGGGAAGCTGCTTCCCCACAGCACCCTGCAGACGTGGGCGGGACCTGGCCTGGAGGGGCCTTGCTCTGGGCCCAGAGGGAGGGGCATTCCCGTGTGGCGGCCAGTCCTTGGTCCGTCTGTGGAGACGCCCCCTGGAGGGCTGACCGGAGAGCTGTTCCGAAGTACCCCAGAGCCGTCTCGGGCCCAGGCCGCCCCACCCCCTCCCTGCTCAGGGTCCCGGCCCCACCCCCAGAGTCTGGTCCTTGTAGGGCTGGGTCTGCCCTGCTCTGTCACGCCCCTGCTTGGGGGGTGACTGCGACATGGCTCAGTCCATTGCCGGACGGGGCAGCCTCCTCCCCAGGGCTCTGCAGGGGGAAAGGGGGTGTCTGGACTGTGTGTGCTGAGTGCCAGGCTGGGGTACCAGGGCCAGGGTATCTGGGTTAATGCTGCAGCGCTGGGGGAAAGGGCACAGGACAGGCCCACGGCTGCATGGGCAGCAGCCACACGGCACAGAGGCAGTGTCTCGGGGCTATTGATTGCTTCTAAGGAAGCCTTCAGTGTCGCTAGCCCTGAAGGGGCAGGAGACTGTGAGCTAAACGCTAGGCAGGAGGCAGGCTCAGGGGAGTCGAGCGGTGGAAGGCCCGGGCCCGGGGAGGGAGAAAAGGGCGCAGGGGCGCCCCGCTGCATAGACTCCTGGCCCAGTCGGTGTGGGCTCCAGGCCGGCTCCTGTGTGCTGCTGCCAGGGACCCCGCATCGTGTCCAGAAACACCAGGAGTCCATCGCAGCCTGCTGGGGCGAGGGGGCCAGAGGGCCTGTCCCCTGAAGTCGAGCGGTGGAAGGCCCGGGCCCGGGGAGGGAGAAAAGGGCGCAGGGGCGCCCCGCTGCATAGACTCCTGGCCCAGTCGGTGTGGGCTCCAGGCCGGCTCCTGTGTGCTGCTGCCAGGGACCCCGCATCGTGTCCAGAAACACCAGGAGTCCATCGCAGCCTGCTGGGGCGAGGGGGCCAGAGGGCCTGTCCCCTGAAATAGGGACAGATGTCGCCCATATTTCAAGCAGACATTCCGGGCCAGGTCTTGGGCAAGGCAGGAAAATTCACAGAAGCCCGTGACCTGGCCCTGACTTGTCCTAGAAATAGTCTTGACTCAGTGGGGAGCTCCGGGCAGCGTCCCCACACTGCCTGCAGCTGCAGGGGCCTGCTTGGGGCTCCGGGATTTCTCCCTCCACCGCAGCTCGC